AATACTGCTCCCTAAGAACCAAACTAAAATGTGGTCAGAAGCTCAGAAAAGTACTTCCAAAAAGGCAAGAGCCCTAGGGATTCTAGGCAACCTAAAGACAGAAAATCACATTTTAACTGGATCATGAATGTTGAACCAAGAAAAATTTCAAAAAGTACACCGGAGTGTGAGCAGAGGACAGAGGGAAGTTTATGTGCAAGAGAGGAGGGCACCCTAGGGCCTGAGATCACTGAAGCTGCTTCTGAGAGTAAACGTTCAAGGGATGAAGCTCAAGGACCTGGTTGGCCAAGTGACTCTCCTTGGGATGGAGAAGTTACCTCCATTGATGGCTGAAAGCAGGGAAAGCAACAGAAGTAAAACAGTGGGGCCAAAGAAGGAAGGCTTTTGGATTTCAACACTGATGACCATAATTCACTAGTGACTTTATACATGGACTCTAGGAGATTGGTTGCATATGATGGACCACACTCCCCCCAGCTCTCCTATACCATGTTGTTCTGCACTGAAATTTTGTAAAGAATCCCACCACAGGGTGGAGTTCCTTCTTCACCCTCTGACTTTGGGACAGACTTCTAAATTACACTGGCTGAAGACTGAGGCAGAGAACGCGAGTCTAGGCTTCCATTCATGCTCTGGAAACCTAGCAACCACTCAGTAACCAAAACCCTGAGTTAACTGTCCTTTGGCTCCATCTGGAGCCACAGGGACCGCTCCACAGCCAGCCAAAGTTTGAGCATGTGAGCGAGCCCAGAGAAGTCACTCAGACCCACAGCTGACCAAAGGCATGTGAGTCAGGAGCTCAGGGAAAAGCAGACCCTAAAAGACCAAGCCGAGGACCCAGAGACTTGTGAGTGTAATATACATTACAGTGTTATGCCACGAGTTTTGCTATGCATTGTTTCCCATTACTAGCTCACAGGCATCTTTTCCAACAAGTCTCTAGTGCAGTGATTCTCAAACTAAGATGTATTTTATATTAAAAAATAAAAGTTTTTAAGTCAAAGAAAACTGAAGAATGTTCAATCTGATATATTCATATACACATCACACAATCTGTATACAAACATGTATTACATGCACAGTGTGGTATGAATTTACTAAAAACTAAAAAATCTTGAAAAATTGGTTGTTGGATGCACTGGTGAACATCAGGTTGGCCTGTGTTCCTTGTACCCTCAGTCATCATGGGGCAGATACTGTTTTTCTCTACTCTGCTCAGGATGCAGAGACGTTTCAGGGACCAACACAGGGTGGGAAGAAGATAACTGGATGGAGTGGAGGATCCCTCAGGTCCCCCTTTTTCTCTTTCATGCTTTGTATTGCTATACAAAGTTATTGTCCAAAAGCAAAGGCTGCAGCTAAATGCAGCTTGAACAGTGCACTATGTAACTGTCATTTCCAGTTTCGGAGACAAAGCTAGAAGGGTCTGGATCTACACTCCAAATCCAGGGATTAAAGTGATTTTTAGACTCATCTGGCAAACTCACTGGGCCCACCTCCTGTCTCTACCCTTCTGTTGGACTCACAAATTGGTCACAGGGCTTTCTCAGGAGGAAGGCCATGCTGACCCTAATTCTACCAGACCGCATGGTTCCCTCTTCTGAAAAACTAAAGAATCCAGACAACCCTAACACTTTCCATGGGTTTCTTCCAGTTTAGAATGTCCAATACCAGGCAGGAAAGCAAAACCAAACCAAACCCCAAAATAACTCTGCCAAGCAAGCAAAATGTTTTGGCTTCGCCTGGTGCAGACTGCTGATGTGGGAGGAGAGTGCACGCAGGTGTGCGCATGCATGTGTGTTTGCACGTGTGTGCAGAAGGCCATCTGTCAGCTCAGTGATCTGAGCTGCAGAGGAAACATAGCACATATTTATGGAGAATGCCGGCAGAGGAGGGTACGAGTTACAGAACACAAGTGTAGGAAGAGGCTGGACTGGGGCTGCTGTGAGTGAAACTCAGCCTGTCTGCCTTCAGGAGGAGCAGCAGAGGAGCTTGGGGACTAAAGCCATTCATCTGCTCTTTCATTGCTCACACAGTCATTCATCTGTTCATTCATTTACTCCTGGAGCAGCTGCTCGGTACCAGTGTCCTCTGCTAATCAGCCCACGACAATGACTTGATTCTGGTCCTGAGGAACCACAGGGCAGGAAGCAGGGCACGCAGGTAACCACTTTTGGTAAAAAATTCGACGCAACAGGTATGAAGTGCCTGTTAGTAAAGCATGCTGAGGGATTGCAGCTATTTAATCTAATCACACTGTTGGAATTCGACAAATTTGGTTTTCACATCATGGGAAGACTGCAGACAGAGTGGAGCAGATGACTCACTTGAGACCATGTGGCCGCTAACAAAGGAAGACTTTGAACCTAGAGCAAAGACACCACCTCGATTCTCAATGGAAATTCAATACGGGGCAGTTGCTGAGGTCTCGGAGCTGCAGGAGACATGATGTCAGCAAGACTTTGTGGGGAACACAGAGTCCCAGGGCTCACATACATAAAGAGGCAGTGACAATCCACTGTGATGCTTGCAAAGAGAGGTACGGGCTACTCCCAAGGCACTGCTACCTCTCTGGGGGAGGAAGGCTTCTCTAGGAGGTATCGCTTAGTGGAGACAACAATCCCCAGTTCAATGAGAACAGTTTGCTTGTCACAGTGACACACAGAAAGAGTCTCATAATTTAATTCATGATCTCTGCTAAGTGTTACAAAAATGTTCCTTCTAATCTCTGCACAAGAGCTAAAAGAGAATATTAGAGTATTTCTTTTTACAGATGATGACATAGAGAATGAACGATGCAAAAGTTGCTCAGGGACCCTTGGTTAAGTGGCCAGATCTGACTCTGAAGATCAGGCAGTTTCTTTTAGGGTTGATAGGCAATCTCCCCAAGGACAGGTCCAGGCTGAGTCTCTCACCTGTACAGACCTGGAGCCCAGGAAGCAGAAACCAGGTGAAATCCAGAGCAACAAGCCAGTGGGTAGTCTCCCTTCTTGTGGGGAGTGTGTAGCAGTCCCACAGCTTAGCCTGCACCAATGGGGTTACCTCTGGTTTGTTTTTCTGGCTGAGAGGTAATGAAGAGGCAGACGGGAAGATCACAGATTTGCAGAGCATAGAGGTGCCCTAGGGAATGCGCAGCCAGAGAGTTTCTACAAGGGTAAGTGGGGTTGGAAAGATCTTAGTGCAGGGGAAATGGAATAGCATGCACCACCTCTGAGAGGTTTAGGTGAGTGAGATCAACTTTCTAATAGAGTTTCTCTTCAAATTAGGCCCAATAACTCTTTTTCGTAGATAAGAACCCTCACACTCAAGGACAAGAAAACTTACCCAAACTCCCCAGGAGCTGAGAGAGGGGGCTCAGACGCGATAGTATGCACCTGTCTCTAAAGACAGCCTGTGCTTCTCACCTCCTGCCTCTCCCAGGCATTTAGGGATACTGAAAATGACTCACAAAGTCTTGCCATCAAAGCAGATGGGACCAAGACTGAAGACTAACTCCAGGCAGGGAGCCATTGCAGACCATCCATACAGCGTAGATACTCCCCAAGCATAACTTCTAGTACCTTTAGGCAAGGGCATTTGTATGTCAAAAAATAGATTATTTGATTTGCATAAATTTCTTCTGCAGGGAATAGTCATTCGCCTATTAATTACATAGCCCTGGAGCAGGCACTGTGCCTGGTCTCAGTAATACAAGGACCTCAGGAAGCTCATGGAGGGGATGGGGAAGAAGTGCTGTTAACAGAGGAGGGGCAGGGTGTGAGGCACCAAGGCAAGAAAGACCCTGGGCTCAGGGATCTGGGTTTGCAAGGGACATGAAAGGCCCCTTGTTCTTCTCCACTCCAGGTGCAACTGCCCAACTGCCCTCTTTGGTGCCACTGCCACTCCCACCCCAAAAGCTCGATCTATCAGCAAGGCCACTGCCCTTTCAGCTGGAGCCTGCTGTCTTTAGTGCCAGCCACTGGTCCCAATTCCACGATGTGGCTACCATAAAATGCCACGGCCTCTCTTCCACACTGAGACACTATACCAGAGCCCCTGCTCTATGGTTGTTTTTTCTCCAGGCGCAACAATTCAGGGTCCATCAGCTGCTCCTAGGGAAATAGGCTTTCAAATTCTGTTGTTCAGTCTGTCCGGAAACATGAGGGTGTTTTTGTGTGCCTCCTAGTGTGGGGTCTGAACTCAAAGCAATGCTCCAGATGGAATTACTTTAGCCCCACAAACTCCCCGTGGGTGTCAGAGGTGTGATTCTAAGGGTCTGCAAGGATGAGGGAGATCAAGGTGATGAGACACCTTAGATCCTCTTGCATTAGGGCACACGTATTCCACTCAGGAAACTTCACTGGCTGACTAATGAGACTGAATTCTGTGTAGAGATTCCCCCCAGAGTGCCGGGTGGAGGTCCTTAAGTATGTATTGTGGGACTTGCAGTGGCTTCGGTTTCACAGAGCTGGGGGTTTTCCTTTCTGGCTCAATTCCCAGGAGTCCCACCAGCAGGCGGGGACCGGGGGACCCAGACACACCAGACCACGTCCTCAATGTAGGACATCTCCTGCACATGGCTTTCTCCACAGTGTCTTGCTCAGTGCTGGACCTGCCCACATCCCAGAGCCCTGACCAGCCTTCGCCTGCTGCTGTCCTTTTGAAACGTTTCAGCCACTTGCGGACTGGATGAGGAGCTCCCTTTCCAGAGACAACACTGTCCTTTACAGGACCTGTACAGGAATCCTGGCCAGGAAACTTTCCCGTTTCCGTCTGGGCCCTGGAGTCCCCTCGGTAGAGTGGTTGGTACAAATCAACCCAGTCCCCCTCTCTTGGGCCCCAGCTTGGCGACCCTGCTCAGGCCCACCACTCCCGTACCCTGCCTCTTTCCCTGGGCACATGCAGGCGCCCCCAGCAGGGACACACGCTCTGGGATAGGCGCTCCGGAAGACAGCTCCGGCCGCCCACTGGTGCACGCGCAGCCTCCGCGTGAACCCGCAGCCGAGGGAAGGTGTACTTACACTTACAGGTTGGCTTTTTGGCACGTCATAAACACCTTCCTTCTTTTGGCTGGTGGGAACCTACGGAAGAATCGAATTCCACATGGTTAAAAGCCCCGGCGTTCGACTGCAACGCACAACGCAGCCAGACGTCCACTGCGAGCTGGAGGAACGGACAGGGGGCTGCCGCGCCGGTGAAAGATGAAATGAGGAGGGGGCAGGGTCATGAGAGGACTGGCTGAGGGCGCCTCTGCCTTGAGGCTTCGCGCAGTCTCAGAACGGGGACTGCGGGCAGCCTGCAGTGAGAAAACCATCCTCATTACGCTGAGGGCAAAAGTGAGGCCCAGGGAGGAGCTGCGATTTGCTCGAAAGGTTTAGAAACAGTCTATAGCCGAGCATAAACTGCTCAGTGCTGAGACTGAGATGCAGGTGATCAAAAATATAGTAAATATCGCTATCCCAGCACACACGGCTTCAGTACTGCTCTACATCTCCTTCCCTTCCTCCTCCCCTGCTCATCCACGTGGTCTTCCCAGCCACGTGTCAACAGTAAAGCCCAAGCAGGTCATTTAGCCCTTCTGAGCTGCGCTGTCATCACATGGGGCCGTCGGCACTGCCTCTCGCTCAGGTTCTGGTTAGGAACCATTGGGAACACAGACGTTAGATAAGCAAAACCTATTAGGAATCATAGCACTGTAATGGGTCAGAGCGACAGCTGCTTTCGTCACTGGCACATCACATGCACGGACACATGAACACATCCTGTGATACTAGCAACAGAGTCAGTCAAGGGCTCGGCCCAGGGACACTCTGGATTAGAAGCTCTCATTAGCTGATCCTTCCCCAGCAACTGCCACAGTTCAGCTTACACCTTCACTGCGGGGGCCCGAGAAGCTCAGGGTGGTCTCCTTCCATCAGGTTGGGGCTGCTTGGGGGCAGACACAGTGCCTCCCACCCCGTAGGCACTCAACAAGTGTCTGTGGGTAAACATCACCACAGAGGAGTAGGGGGTAGTGAAGAAAAAGAAAAATGGCTGGATAGGCACTGACTGGCTCACCATGTCATTCTTTTATGAGTAAGGATGTGAGCTTAGGCTTCCAGATCCTTTATCACCGCCACTCCTGCTGAACTTAAAATCCTTCAGGATCCCTAAGAAGTTGGTTTTATTGGGTCTGCTTTAACCTGCAGAAAGTGAGGCTCAGAGATGTTAAGGCTCTGCCCAGAGTTATAAAGGCGGAAGGCTCCAAACGCTGCTCTGTGATTATCAAAAAAGCTAGTATACGCTGACATGTTCCGGGCACTTTCCATGGGCTGGGTGCTGCTGCTCCTCAGGATGGACTGCCCCCATCCCCATGACACACTCCTGAGTGTCCAGAAGTTGGCCAGTGGGCTGGTTAGGAGTGGGGCCGGCCGTCTGCCATTCGATGGCTGCCCTATACTGGCTGCTTTCTCTAACATCACACCCTCTGTTTCCAGAGGCTTGTGAGTATTTTTCAGGAGCACAGAAATAGGAGTGAGCATGGATGAGTGGAAGATGGTCTTCCAGAGCTGTCCTTACAAAGCCAGTGTGTCAGTAGCCTAAGAAGAATGTAATTTCTTTGCTCCCGATAACTGGGCTCCACTTAAAAGGAATCCTCGGAATGTCTACAGAGTCCTTGTTAACGAGAGCCAATAAATTACCAGCACTCACTTGTGTTTTTACTAGCTCACCCTTTAGGAGCAAACAAGCAGCATTCTGTCCCCATAATTCACTGCTCACTATGACACTTAGCACAGTGAACCTCTGCAGCCTCTCAATTATCCCTGCGAACAGAGGAGAAGCCATGCGAAGGATAAACCCAAACTGTGCATAATTGAAAATGCTTTTCTCCTCGGTTCTCCCATGGGTGAGATATCAATCTGCTCGTTTGTCCTTTAAGATTCATCTCAGCTGAGGCTTCTCAGAAGCCTGGCCCGCCTCTTCGGGACTGGTTGGGACCATGTGTTTGCACTCTGGTAACCTCAGGTCCATCCACTCATTAAAACATAGAAGTTACCAAGTACCTATCATGTGTCACGCACTGCACTTCCCCAGACAAGGTTGTGACTTAGACAGATAATGTCCCTGACTCCCTGACTTAGCAGAGACTTTTTGACTTGTTAGGAGAGGGAGACAGAGCAGTAATCAGGCTGCAGAAAGAGCAGAGCTGTGCTTTATCTTTCCATGGGAGTAACTACATCACCCTGTAGCAGTTTGTGGATCTACAGTCCCACGGCTCGGTAAGCTTGCTAAGGGCAGGGTGAGTATTTTATTATCCTTGGATTCCTGCCTGTAAATGTCAGATAAACAAAGAAGTGCCTGCTCATTGGACATTCATCACATGGATGCTGAGGGCCGGCGTCTGGCTCTTATCTCTGCATAGGTCCGTTTACATAGACCAGTACAGTACCAACAGGCACAGTGATTAAAAATCTCAGACTGATGGAAAATGGAAGATCTGGTTCCTAATTCTGGCCCTGCCACAGGCTCTGTGATGTATGGCAGTCAGCAGCTTTCTGGGCCTCAGTCTCCTCCTCTGGTTTTCATAACCATCTAAAACCCTGCCCATCAACTCCTTGAGGGTAGACACCGTACCCCGGTCACTAGTGCTTCTTTCCCTATGCCTGGCACATGCTAGGTGGTCCATACATACTTTTTGGAATGGATGAGTTCAGAGATGGTAAATTCTCCCAGAAGCTACACATTACACAGAGCTGTACCCGGGGGACACTCTGGCCCTAGCACCCTGCCGGTTAATAGTGCAGCGAGGCAGTACAAGCTGACCTAAACTAGAGCCCTGCCATTTTCAAATGACAACTCCCGAGACAGGTGGAGTGATTAAGAATTCTTTTTGAAAAAAACGAATGTGAAAAATGTCCACTTGGAAAGCAGAGGGCTCGCTTATGTGGGAAGCTACCTGAGCTATTCAAGAACACAGAAGTTAGATTCAGAGGCCCTGAGCTCGGTGGACTGGATTTTCTTAGGTTGCAAAAGACAGTCATCAGAGCTCTTCTTCCTGTTCTCTGCAGTATTGGAGGGGTTGAAATTGAGCCATATATGAAAAAGCTACCATGACACTCTGTTGTTTTAAAGACAACTGGTAACTTTTTCAGAGGTAAGTGAAGCAAAAGACAATTGTGATTATCCATGCATTTGGGGAAGGGAGCTTATTGTCCTTAGAAACTGGGTCCTCCATCCTCCCTGGCAGTTATAAACAGCAAAGCCAGGTGAGACTGCCCTTTCTGGGGGGCCTGCCTGCTGTGCCATGAGCTCTTTCTCCTCTGTCACATCCCTCTGCCATGCAGCCCTACCTCGGAGTCAGCTGACTATGGACTGAAACCTCCATAAACCGTAACCAAAATAATCCTCCTGTAAGTTGTGAGTGTCAGGTATTGCAAGGAAGAGAAGGTAATTAAGACAATCTTAATTTTATAGCCCAGGAAACTGAGATACAAAAGTTAGGTACTTCACCCAAGGCCACAAAACAGTTAAAAGGGGTTTAGGTGCCAGGTATATTTGCCTCATTCCAGGAAATAGGGAGGGGCTAAAACCTGAGGTCACCCTGAGCCAAGCCTGGAGCAGAAGAAACACTGCAAGAACTCAGGGATGCAGCACTTGCCAGCCCTTAATGAAAAGAAGATTGAGGTTACTAATAGCAGTGTCTTAAAAGCTGGGCTTATCTTAGGCCCAGAGCTTATCTCTTGTTAAGTACATTGAGCCGGGACAGACTGGCAGTACAAGAGAGGGGAATGGCCAAAACCCTTTCCTATAGATGGGGATAAATATTCATTCCCTTAAATGGTACCTTATTGTTAATGATGGACAGATGGACCGATCAGGAGGCCAGAGCTGTTAAAACAAGTGTGATTTGCAGATAGTGACTTAAACCATGCACAGAATTTAAGTGTGAAACGCAGAATCAGGAAATGCTGAGCTGAAAAGAGCTCCAGGATTTGTTTGTTTATTTACAGAGGTCAGAGAAAGCTGCATATGGGACTTCTACCTTTCACCAGCTCTGTGACCCTGCAAGAACCCTTACCTCTGTGGGCCTCACTTCCCTCGTCTGTAAGGAGGGAACATGGTTCAAGCCACAGGGGCTGTTGGGAGAGATTATGTAGTTGCTTCTGTACTCCACTCACAGAGCCAGTCCACAATACGCGCACACGTCCCCATTGCTAAGAGTGGGATGGCCCAGGACAGCGAGCCAGTGTGCTTCTCCAAAGAACTGGAGACTCATGGTAAGGTGACATCTGCAAAGAGCAGAAAATGGTTTTCCCCGAGAGACTCTTACAAATCAGTAAACTGAGGCCCAGGCAGGGCAAGGAACTTGGCATGGCTGAGTTGGTGCTTGTGCCAAGATGACATAGCACACAGCTGGCCTCTTCATTCTGTGACCTGTGACAAAGCCACTTGTTCACATTCTATACATGAGCTTGTTTCATCCTTACACAGGCAAGTGAGTCAGAGTGAAATGGCTCTCCTACTTTATTATGGGGAAGCTGAGCCTCAGAGAGAGAAAAGATCTTGCCCTGGCCACAAGCCACAGGTAATCAATGACAGAGCCAAAACCATAACCCAGCTTCCTCCCAGCCTAAGCCAGCTCTCTGCAGCACCCCGGCACCCTCTCATCTCTCCTGGGGCCCTCACCAAGGCCCAGGGGCAGCCTTGCCAACTACACCTGAGACCGGATTCAGAAAACTCTGGTATTGCAAAGCTTCCTTCTCTTCCTAGGATGATGGATTAATGGCTCCTCTGGCCTCCTCTCAGGCACAGCAAGGGTGCACACAGTGCTTTCACATCTGACACTGGGGAGCACTGCAATTTCGATATTTAAAGAGAGAAAGCTGTAAATGATGACTGTGAACAAAACCTCAAAGTGCAACCTCATATTTGAATAAAATCTAAGTGAGAGAGATGGATTACTATTCCACAAGGCTGGTTTAAACCGAAGAGTTGGTTGCACTAACATTATATTTGGTCATTTAGGAGTATCTGCATTTGAAACTGAAAATATATTTTACTTTTATTATGCAAGTAAGACATGCCCAAGGCAGGATAAGAGACCACACAACTAAGGAAATTAAGGAAATTAAAATGCCTGATTAAATACATTAATTTTTTTCCTTCTTTCATAGTATTTGTATTTTAAATTAGGACTAAAATTCTAATTAGTGAGGAATTGCAGGCCTTCACAGTTCTTTCATGGGCTACTATGATGAGCTGCAATTAGTCAAGTGCTGTAGTGAAAAGAGGGGAGCAGACCCAGCTTTGCCTCCAGACACCTCAGTGTGAGCCTGGGCTCTAAGAAGTAGGACATCCCTGAGCAAGCAGCTCACCTTCTCTGAGCCTCAGTTTCTTCTATAAAAATAGCACTTAAATACTTCATAACAGGTCTGTGAGAATTAAGTGAGCTAAAATGTCTCTTCTGTTTTCTTCACACATGAGGTTATTGAAGAATATTAATTTACCCCTCTTTTAGGAGGGAGAAAACATTTAGATGCACCTTCTTTTATCCCATTCATACTCCTAACATGGTTTTCAAATAGCACTTTTGAATTCAACCTTGATTTTCAGTCATGGATTTGGCTTTAAAAAAAAAACTGAGGAGGCTGTTCTGAGAGTTGAAGGACCTTAAAAGAACTCTCCAATGTGCTACTTTATTAGAGTGGGATGTTTGACTTTTGCTTTTACCTAACACAGCTACCATTCATTCAAAGTTAAAACTCCAAAGCCTGGCGTGGTGGCGCACGCCTGTAATACCAGCAGTCAGGAGGTTGAGGCAGGAGAATCACTGTGAGTTCAAGAAAAGCCTAGGCTACATAGTGAGTTACAGGTCAGTCTCAACTACATAGTGAGACCCTGTCTCAGAAAACCAAAAAACCCAAAAAACAAAAAACAAAATATAAATAAAGTTAAGACTCCATACCCAATGGGCCATTAAACATTTCAGTAAGGTGTGGGAACTACTGGTCAGTTGCTGGGGAACTAGAAGCCAATGTGTTCAAAGGTATTTCAACAAGCCTGGAATGACTCCGAGACCCCAAGAACCTGTTGCTCTCTGGGCCTGGCAGAGCTTCATGCATTTATTGGAGGTAGTGAGATGGTAGGAAGCAAACGATCTTATACCTGGTAAATGTTTTCTTCCGTTTCGGGATCACGGATTGGCTCGTGTCCAGCCTCAAACACAATGTACTATTACAGAAGCAGCCAGAGAAGAAAGGTCAGAAGTGAAAAAGAAAAGAGGAGAAAAAGCATTTGGAATTCAGGACATACATCAAAGTGAGCATTCATGAAACAGGCACAAGAGAAAACACTTGAAGTTTCATCCAGATTCATGCAATAAAATGGGCCGTGCACATGCCTGCTGCTAAGGTTAACAGTGGAGGCCGGCTGGTCCACCCTTTGGCAATGGCTGTCCTGCACAATTTTCTGGAGATAGGACCTCTTGATTCAACAACATTTTGTCTCAGAAATGGCTCCTGGTGCTGGCACTGCGACCTCATGGAAATTCCCAGTGCTCTAACTTTACAAATGTTGTATCACATTCGCGTTATTCCCTTTCGCTCACTAGAGCCCAAGATCTAGTTCAACTCGAAGGAGCGTGGAAGCCCCCACTGCCCTCATCCCATAAACATCACCTCATTGTACATTCCCAGTTTGAAATCCTGACCATCAGTCTGTCCACATTCACGCTGTGGACTCTGCAGGCTCCACAAAGGCTGCCATTCGGCACTCTCGGCGCGCCATTGAGGCAGGACCTGCAGCTTGTGTTATAAACAGCTCCTCACCCCTCAGCATTGAAAAGCAAGGACAGTCCCTGAGTATATCTCGGTCACTTCTGCTCACTATATTTACGTTAGAGTTCTTCCACTTGAAGCTATCTATATTATTTTACTTTTATTAGAGTGGTACGTCCTTTCTATGTGAAAATATGCAGCCCTATGCAATGCATAATGCAGCAGGCATATATGCAATACCAAAGAACCCCAGTTAGAAACACAAATCAGAGGTTTTCTTGTTTTTATGTTCAAAAGAGTCAGGTTTTTTATTTAGTTTTTGGCCACCCCCCTCCTTAAGAATAAGCACAGGAGGGAGAAGGTGCCTCTTCCCTTCTCCTGCATCTCTGTTGGAACAGAGCCTGGACCAGGGCCTGAGAGAGGTCATCTCCACCCACTCAGGGGCTGCAGAGTGCAGTGGCTCTGGCAGAGGTGTCCCCAGGATCTCTCTGTCCTCATGCCAGCTCCTGTGATGTTAGCCCAGTAATTGGAGGGTTGGGCTGCCACATTGGGGGTTCACAGGCCCTGTCCCTTACAGCTGCGCTAAAGCTCGTGAGCCATTCTTTGGATTTGTGCTCAAATGTCACCAAAATGTCAGTGCCTGTCTCTAATTTTTAACTCTGAGAAGCCACCTCACTGCTCCTCATCTCTCTACTGTGCCCAGAACATTCAAGAGACTCTTCAAGCATTCTGCTCTGGGATCAAAGGTTTACACACAGGAGGGGGCTGAGGCAGGGCAAGAAGGGAGAAGCAGGGCTCCCAGCCTGTGTCCCTGTGCAGGCTTCACTTCTGCTAGGGTTTACAGAAATTCATTCCCGGAGAGGCTGGTAGCCCTCAGCCCCGGAAATGATTCCCACCCCTTTCCAGGCCCTGCTGCCAGTGGATTCCTTGAGCTTCTTACAAAATGGCCATGGCCTAGGCACGGCTGCTCCTGAAGCCCTGACTTATTTCAGAAATTACCTGGTATACAGGATCTTCAACATCTTCTTCCAAAATTGTCTTTCACAGTGAGGGAGGGGTCGGTGGAAAGCAGAGGACACAAAGGAAGAGACATGAGATTGTGTTCAGAAATTATAGGACAGAGAAACCAGCTCCGGGTAGGACAGGCTGATGGTTCTTTAATGTAGAAAACACAGAAAAAGTAATACCCCTGTCGCTGCCTCCCCACCCCATCCCATTGTTAACAACAGCAAAAGCAATTGTGTGTCTGTAGTTTTCCTCCCCTGAAATCTTCCTCTGGGTTAAAGGTTTTACTTTGTCTATCACATCCTGAATTTAGAGAATAAAGGATCATTTCTGATAGCTTGCTTTGGGTGCCTGTAATTTATACAGGAACCTTTCATCTTTGTTTATTCCTGCTTGGCAGTGGCAGAAGGAGAAGGCCTGACTGGCAGTTTTCACATCTGTTTATTTTAAGCCCCGATCTTCTCTGTGCTGGGATAAATTCACAAGTATACCTGGTACACGGCTTGTTCACATTGCTTATCCTTTTGTGCCTTTTTCTCCAATTCTTCTCTTTGCTTCAATTCATAGATGAGTTGAAAGAGATCTCTCAAGTCCAGAATAACAGGTTCAGCCTGGAGTGAAAGGTGTAAAGCACGTTAATAAGGGAACGGTGCCGAGTGGCAGCCACCAATTTTTGTTTTTGTGGCTACAACCCGCAGCCCTTCCTTTTTCTATTAAACTGAAAGCATTCCATTCTTAATTAATTCTACCTTGTTTATATTGGTTTAGCAAATTGCATCTAGGCTAAAGTTCATTTCTTCAACTAATTATATTTGCAAATTCATAATAATCATAAGCATAAAAGGCACAGCTTTTATTTATTAGCAATTTCAAATAAAATAAAATTAGGGCAGGCTTTATGGAAAACAGCTACTTGTTTCCTCTTATTTTCTTTTTAAATGAGGCTATGAGCGCAAGGCAACACTGTATATGTGCCTCTATCTAGCTTAATCAGAAAGGAAACTAATTAGTCATTAGGAAATACCCATTATGAAAAAAACAAGACAAAACAAAACTGAAGGATCTGAACACATTTGCTTGCTCCAAGGCCACTTATCTTCTCTAGGCAGAAAGCTGAGCCCCTGCTTCCGGTGGTGACACTTGGCCACACTTCCGGCTGAGCCTCTGAAGACCAACAGTGACAGCGCTGTCCCCAGAGTCACCAGGTGGCGCTTTCCGGGACAAGCGGCATACTCACCGCTTGGGCTGTTTTGATGGCCACGAATCTGTGATTCCCTTCTTTCCCACAAACATATCCAAAGGCCCGGTGATCTGTGATGTCCTTTGCAATGTAGGAAATCTCGTGAACGGCATGATGATGCTGAAGGACCTAGCAGAGACAAAAGCCACAGCACATTTCACAACCTTCCCTTCGCGCTGTTGATCAATAGGAGATGTGTTTCAGCTACGTGAGTACAAGCCCACAGGGCTGTGGAAAAGCTGTCTGTTCCAGATGGAAGTAAAAAGAGCTGTGCCTGCCCTTGAGAAATGGAGGTTTCTCTCTGCGGTTTTAAGGCTGTGACCAGAGAGAGCACCAGGACTGCTCAGATGCAGAGTGACATCTGTGGATGGAGATCTGCCCCTCTCACCAGACGAGACAGAGTAAGGCAGCGTACTTGGGTCTGTTTGGGCAGTCTTTGTAACAGCCCAGTCCAACCCACATACCCAGCATGCTGTGGGGGAGGATGCGCCCCGATCAACTCCAGGCGGCGCCACTAGCACTGCTGGTATGTGCTCTGCATGATTATGGCACTTTCCCAGAAGGTGGCGCTGTAGAGACTATGTTGACCTGCAAACCCTATTCTCTATTTTGTCCAAAGTCAGTATTTAGGGTGGATGTCGGGTCACGCATATCTCTGAGGCTTGTCATAGGTTGGTCTCTGTCCGCACTGTCTGATCTTCTATCTGCCTGCCCAAATTCTCTTTTTCTTTCAATGGCTTCCTGAAGTGGCACCACCTGTATGGAACACTTTCTCTCAATACTGGACTAGTCCCAACCCCTTTTGTGTTTCTGTAGAAATGTTACATGATTCGAACGTTCTGATAGATTCCTCACGTGGTTCCCTGGGTTTCTTCCTTCATAGGTCTTCTCCCTCTGAAACCTAAGCCTGTTTGTCTTCCACACCAGGTTCTGTCTTCATGATCTCTGTGGTCCTCGTACCTTGTACTGTGTCTGGCTCATCATTGAAAATCTTTTGAAACTGACCTTTATGACTTTACTGTCTGAGCTTCTACTTATATTATTCATCACTTTATTGGGAGATGACATTCATGGTTTTTCCCCCATGTTAAACCTACTGACAGCCATCGTCATTACACTGCACTCTGTAAAGACTTGTGGATGCCTAAGCACGTTGTGGTATCTTCAAAGTCCTTCTAAAGAGCCCTTTCATTATAATGGGCATCAAGAGGCTTGAATTCCATCTACACTGTGAACACGAAACACCCACTGTTTCTGTTGGGATTTCATTTCACCCCTCTTGCAAACAAAAGGAGCATACCAAAGGCTTACACCAGGAATCTCATCACTCTTAGTGGCTGAGGCAGGAAGATTCCAAATTTGAGGTCAGTCTGGGTAACTTAGCAAGATCCTGTCTCAAAATAAAAGCTGTAGCTCAGTGAGAAGGTCCTGGGTTCATTCCTCAGTATGCATCTTAAAAACAAAACAAAGAAAAAAACCCATCCAACATCTGTAGGGGTTACTAAAAGCAATAGAAAGGAGGATCGGATCAAATTTCAAAATGTCACAAAAACAGAAATTCATAATTGTCGAAAAGAAGCCAGCCTCTTACACTATGGACCTCTGGGTTCTAGACCATGAACTTTCTGAAATGTTCTTGCCTCAGCCCAGAGCATCATACCTGGCTCCTGTACAAGTCCTTCACCCATTACTACATCCTTACTTTAACCTCCAGGGTTTGACAATGCACCTCTCCACCTGCACTTAGAACCCACCTCTCCACTGCACTCCATCAACACTGTCCACTGTCCTCTGGACCTCATGCGGGATCCTAGTGTCACTGCCAAGCAAACCAATCCCCCAAGGAGAGGATGACAACTGTATAATTCTAACGGGTCTTGTTAAAAATAAAGTTGGTGAAAGAGGAAGTATTTGTGAATAATTAGGATCCAATTTATTTTTGCTTTGTCAAGGGAACTTACTTAGCTCACAGAGGAAAATTGCTCCAAGAGTGGTAGCTTTTTCATGCTGCTAATGATGTAAAATTGATGAGAGATATATTCACACAACAAAGGGCCATTGATCTCTAAGCTTTTGTGAGCTAGAAAGGTGTGCAGCAGGGAAAGTGGAAGACAAAGACATTCTTTCATGCTCACCTTGTGTAAGGTGGAGAGTGTTATCCACGCCTCCTACTAAATCCAAGTTTGATGACAGGGCCTTATTGATTGCCGACTAGAATATTGCTCTAAAATTAAACTGCGATTAGAAGTCTTCCAGGTGGAATTAGATTTGAAGATGATCGCGCAATTGTAAAATATCACCTACCATGCAAGACAGCAGATGGAGATGTTTTATCTGGGAATCCTCATTAAGTGTTTTAAAACTAAAACATTTTTAATGCCTGATGATACCTAATATTGCCTTCCAAAGTGACTGTGTGTGCACGCGTGAAGGGCTTCAAGATGTCTGTAACATTATCTTTTCCCACAGTTAATTTTATGACGTGTTAAAAAGGACTGCTCTGAAAGTGTTTCATTCATTTGGAAATGTACAGAGAAGGAATATGACTCTGCTTTCTCCCTCCTTAGCCATGCAGATGTAATAGAGAGACTCGAAAATACAAATAAGTTAGAATGCTGCTAATCTCTCAGTTGTATTAGATCATATACATTTTAGCAACCCGAAGAACCATGCCAACACTTGCTCACAGAGCCTCAGAGTTGCCCCATGCCTTCAAGTAGATTTTATCAGCACAGTCCAAGACAGCTGGAGCCGGACAGAACCTTCAGAATCACATTGAGAGAATTCAACTCTCAGTTTATTCATGAAGGAGCCGAGGGCTGGAGATCGTCCTGGCTGGACCTGTACCCAATCCAAACTTCATTTTTCCTATTCAGAATGATGAATCACTGAAAAAGGAATAGACTTAGTAGAATTAATGTCTGCTTTCCTTTGACTCCTGGCTCCCTCATCCAACAACAAATGGATGAGAACAGAAAGGAAGAACCAGACAAGATAGGTAGAGCCAAAGTTGTGAGGAATCATCTCAAGCATCTTCGGTCACATCTGAGGTTCACAAATCAGAATGCTTGGGGTACACATCAGCTGCAGAGATCTCAAAGAGAAAGGCCAAGGAAACATGAGCTGGAAGTGTTCCTTAGCTCCCTAGACTCACTCTGAGGTCCGGTTGTATGTACCTTTTGATATGAGTGGTTTCTGGTAAGTGGCCAAGGCCAAAAAGGTGAGATGAGGTCATTGGTCACAGAAGACAAGGTGCCCTTCATCCCAGGAGCATTTCTTGGGGAGTCCCAGGCAAGGGCAGCTGTTGTGAAGGCTGTGTGGGACAGGAGGAAGGGTGTAGAAGAAAGGCAGACTCTTGCTATGCTCTTCCACACAGCTTGTTGAAGACTGATATCGCCTTGGAGGAACTTAGTCTAGACATTAAAGTACTACCCCAAATCTAAGCAGGTATTTGGTCTTAAAAAATAGAACATCCTGGTTTTCTCTGTGGACAACTCCTCCCTGTCCTATGCTCCACTGTACATAACTACTGAATATTTGGAAGTATTTCATATCTGTGTCTCAAAGCCCGGCACCAATATCCGCTCATACAAGAAGCCTACCCTGACTCACCCAGTTCCCTTAGGAATAATCCCCATCCCTCAATCACATTACATTGCATTTGCCTTACATCACCAATGCTTTGCACTTCTTGATTTCATTTCATATTTATTATTCATCGAATTACTCATGCCACGCATGTTTACTGACTGTTGTGTTCTAGGTCTAATGCTACATGCTACATCCACGTGGATAATTAAAACGCAGTCCCCTCCTCAAGAAACTCACACTTTTATAAGACAGGCAGGCAAAGAAACTGACATCCATAACAATCCCAATCTAAATGGCAAGCGTTCCACACTCGGTGCCGTCGCTCAGGCTGGGAGCAGGGATGGGGAAAGGACACCAAGGAAGACTTGACAAAGGAGGTGACCTTGAACCGAGTCTTGAACAATAAAGGGCTGAAAGAGTGGGAAAAAATGTAAGGGGGAAATGACACTGTAGGTAGAAAAGACAGAGCACTCATAGGTCATCTAGGTCTTGCACACAGGACATCGTGGGGAGCATTCTCCGCACATGGTTTCTCTCAGGTTTGGGAACAGTAGAGCTTTTAGAGAATGACCCATGCCTGGTTCTCCTCTATCCATACCCAACTCCTAAAATTGTTCATTCTGAATAATAAGTGACTCGCGATGATTATGGAAGGAGAGAAGGGAGGGAAGGAGGGACAAAGGGAGTTCTGACAGCAGGTAAGGAGGGAGGAGAGAAGGAAGGACCACGTCACATTACAGTTCCCATAAAGGCCACTGAATGAATGAACTGGGCTAATCCGCGGGGTTACACACAGGACTCATTCTGTGCAAAGAAGGTTTCTTATCTGATCATCATTAAATCTTTTCTCTTTGCCTTTCCATGAGCCATTTACCAATGTTTAAATGAAGTATCAAATTGTTTGGAGGGGTCTGTCTGACAGTATAAATTACAGAGAAGACTTAATTTGTAGTATGGTTCAATACAGCCAATTAAATACAGTATGGATTAGAAAGTCATCTGCTGCAGACTTTACCATTAGCTATTTTTAAAGAATAAATTCTACCCTGTTTAGCCTTCCTATGATTAGAGTGTGTGTGTGTGTGCGCGGGTGCGTGCGTGTGTGTGTGTGTGTGTGTGTGTGTGTGTGTGTGTGTTTAAGGAGAGAGTACATGCTTTCCCCAGGCGATGCTATTCACAGGAATAAAACACACCAGGACACCACTAAGTTAACAGAAAAACAAAACACAACAACAAAAAAGCAGATAAACAGACATACGATAAAAATAGATACATGAAAAATGCACTCCTTCACAAACTAAACAATTACAGTAGTTAAACCCTCACAAGACAAAGGGAGGCCCAGGCTCATTATGAAGGCTTTTCTCTTTCCTAGAGTATTTTTGGAAGCATTTGCTACTTTGCAGTGACAGTGAGGCTGGGGGGTCACCTCTGCACTGGCCCCAAGAGCCCCAGGGTCAAATGCTAAAAGCATCAGGTCAGAGGGACTTGGTCCCTCTCTGGCATCCTGAAATCTTCTAAAGGTTTTACACATGGGT